CCCCCCCCCCCCCCTCTCCTTCCCTCTCTCTCTCTAAGGTTAACAGTATCAACCAAAATCTCCAAATTCCCATTCTAGAGTTTTCTTAATTTAGTAAGAAAATGGTCGAAATCTCCACAACAAACCTAAATTTCCCTAAATCTAGAGCAAAAGACGGCACTATGGATGAATTTAAAGTTGTTCACCGTTCTTAGCAGCCGGTGCAAGAGCAGGAACCGTCGACAACGAACGATGGCCGACAAGACTCACATTCGAGGACCGTTAAAGACCCCCCCTCACCGTTGTCAACTGCTAAAGATCCCTTCTCACCTTTGAAGAGTGTTGGACATCCCCCATTGTCATCGAAGAGTTTTAAAGATCCCCCTTGCCGTCGATGATCGACCATGGACCCTCTGCTCTTACCCCCCCTAATGTCTTCGTCCACACATGCTTCATCATCAGGGAATGACAATATGATAAAGCCACCCAGATCCTGTTGGGCATGCAAAAGGGGTTATCAAGAAAAAGGAAAAATCCAAGTTTAAAATAAGATTTAGAGAAATCTAGAAAACAGTAAGTTTACGTTAAATTTTCTATTTTTTGGCAAAACTGTGGAATATGTCACGAAAAAATGTGAATCCATATTGGTTGAATCAGTGTTATCGAGGCGCAAAGCGCAATGCGGGGCGCAAAGGTCCCTTACGCGCACCATGCGCAAAGCGCACAACGAGGCGCGCGCCTCACTAATTGAGGCGCATAACTCAAACTAATATTTGCCAACATCATAAGACAGAAACATATAAGCAACATATTAGTTACCTACATCCAAAATTATGAGAATATCAACTTAAATCATCAAATTATGCTAACTGAATTTTTAAAGTAATAAAAAAGATACAAGAAACATGTATTTAAATCATCAAATTAAGTGATTAACAATTATGAGCATATGTTTATAAATTGTCACATAAAAGACTAAGAAATATAATTAACAAACATGACTGTTCATAATTTTCTAGTTAGTATTCTTAATTGATATTTGCTACTTAGCATGAAAAGATGAAGAATGAATGTAACAATGACATATTTACATGTTTATAATTTGCTAGTTAGCATGCTAATTAGAGAATGAAGTTACAATTAGCAAACAAGTATAATAAATTACTAATTATTGTTTCCTTTTTATAGGTTAAACATGAAAAGATGAAAATAGATTAGCAACTAGTAAGAAAGAGTATATTACATGATATAAATATGTAATTATGTAAATTATTTAAAAAAATAGAAGAAAGAGTATGTTACATAATGCAGGTGTGAGGCGCACGTGAGGCGCGCGCGAGGCGCGAGCGAGGCGCAAGTGAGGCGCACGCGAGGCGCGCGTCTCGCTGCGTGCAGCGCCCCGCCTCGCGTGCGGGGCGCATTTCCCCCAGGCCGAAGCGCCCCACGCCCGGGGCGCGCCCGAGGCACGCTCCTCAATAAGCCTGGGTTGAATTGCCTGCATATTACTTGGGAAAGCTGTGGAAAATGTTGAATGGAAGGATAAATGTGTATTTCAATTGGAGCATTGTGAGCTATATGTCTAGATCTTTAAAATTTAACATATGGATGTTACAGATGAACATTGGCTATTACGTTTCGTTATATAATCTTAACGTTTCTTATTAACTGTTAAGTCTAGAGTTTGGTTGGTCATATTGGTATCTGATATCTGACTTTACACATTATATGTTAAGTTTTATTGATCGATAACAAGTCTAGTGAATGATTGTTAATGTGTATAGCATAACTGTTACATTTCATTGTTGGTTATTACTATTACTATTGGCTGTTGGATGTTAAGTTTAGATAGATTGATGTTAAGTGTTTTAAATTTATTACAGGAAAAGGCCTGGTCATACTACAGAAATTAGGCCTACCGCTAGTTTTAGCATATATTATGATTTTATGAAAGTACTTGAACTGGGAATGAAGCGGTGGCACTGGGATGCATACGAGGGGTGCACATTTGAGCATTACGTAATATTTGGCCCCCTAGCACTAAATCGACCCACGCTTGAACTTATTTTGAGTCACTATGTAAGAGATGAAGTGACGTTTGCTATGCTCGATGCTAATAGTGGGAGAGAAAAGATAGTTAATTTTGATTTGGACTGGGTTCATGATCACACTGGTTTCCCAATTGATAGGGATATAATTTATAGCAATAGAGATCCTCACATTAAGATTTAGAGGGAGTATTTTGTTGATCAATTTACTAGAAAGGAAAAAGATAAAGATGCAACAAAGAATATGTGAAGATAATATAGAAGAACTACTTGAATCTCTTATTGAATAAAAAAAAAGAAGGATATTGAGGACTTTGTATTGCTGCACATTCATTATTAGTGTTCAATGATTTGGGTCCCGAGCATTGTGTAAGACATACCTAGGCTCTTGTTCAAGCATGTTGATTGTATTGAAAGAGTGAAGAATGTGGCGTGGGGGAAATTTATTTATGATCAGACGAAGAAAGACATTATGATTGCTAGAGAAGGACTCAACAAACTAAGGGTTTCATATGTGCCTAGATGCATGCCTCTGATTCTTGTAAGTTATATTAACTTTTTTCTTGTTATCGTTAACCAATGTATGTCAACGTTTCAATGTATTCTGTCAACTAAAGTTAATGGTAATTAAGGTTAGCTGATTCATGTTAATGTAACTCAGTAGATGCTAAGCGTTGTCAGGTTAGTGTTAATTATATTTGATGAATATTGAATTTGAGTGATTGATGTTAAACTAACAGATCACATGCGAATGTTTGCTTGTTTCATGTTAAACAGATAATTAGTATATGTTAATTGATTAATTTGAACAATTTATTTGCATCTCCGGTACTACGAAATGACAGAAATAAAAAATATGCCCTAAACAATAGATTCAAGCCACCACTGACTAACTGGGTGATGATTGGAGAGAAGTCTAGATCTCTCAGGAAGGAAACAATTGTTACAAAAGCTGGAAAAACAAGCATTCCTGTAGTTCAGAAACCTATGGCTGAATTTAGCCCATAGGCAGAAAAATATCCACTCAGAAGGCCAAATATGAGGGAAGATGGTGCATTAAGAATTAGAAGAAAATGGAATCCACCACTCCCAATAAAGAAACATCATATATAACCTTCTCCGAAAAGTTATCAAGGAAAAGAAAGCATATAGGAGGAAAGGTTTGCAAAAGAAAAGAAGGAAGAAAAGAAGAAATCATCAATAGGTTTGGTAAGCTCTTAACTAGTGTGTATTAAGTTTATAGTTTTATCTATTAAGTATATCACAAGAACTATTAACTTTGATGAACATATGTTAATGTCACTTGATTGACTGTTAATATTTGCTGCGTATATGTGAACTATAGCCAATATCTATTGTGATTTAAGCAATATATGTGAATTTTAGCGTTATAATTGTTAACGTTTACCTTACAACTGTTAACTTTTGTATTTTTTAAAAATTCCAGATTATATCGAACGCTATTGATGAGGCTTTTCAAAAGGAAGATGAGATTGATGAGTTACCCGTTGAGAAGTAACTCAAAATCTGGAGAAGTTATGCTAAATTAAATTAAAGAATATGTCATGCACTGAGACATTCGAAGAAATTGTATCATCAAACATTATGAATGACACTCGTAGTCTTAATAAAAAGTTAAATGATTAGAAGGATCTGGTAACATAATAGATCATGAAGTTTTAAAAGAATATGTGAAGAAGTTTATTGCGAAGCAAAAGAAAGGAAAGCCAATGGCAGATGAATCTGAACGACATCATGATGATAGAGATTTCTTTGCTAATGAGTTCGTGCATGATTATGAAGATGGTAACGTT